AGCACACCGTGCAGGTAGGAAGCACCCACCCAGCCCTGCCCTCAGCTGCAGACCTGTTCCCCACCTGACACCTCATGGTTCCTCTCTCCCCCACAGTGGGCCCGGGACGAGTTTGAGGGGCTCTTCTGTCTGTCTGCTGAGACCATCAACCGCCACCATCAGTAAGGCCACCAAGAGGGGTGGATGGGAGTCCAGAGCCCCTAGCCCCAGAGTTTTCAGGGCTTAGCCTCAAACCTCCTCCTCTCTCTGCAGGGAGCTCACTTCCCTGGCAGAAACAGATGGGCCACAGGTGCTGACCCTGCTGGAGGAGGTGCTGGGTGTCCTGAGAGAGCGTCCACGGACCTGGCAAGACTGTGTGGTGTGGGCCCTTGGCCACTGGCAACGACGCTTCCATTATGGCATCATGCAGCTGCTAAGCCGTTTCCCACCTGATAAAGTGGGTGTCTAGGGGTCAGAAGGCTGAGGGTTCAGGGGGACCAGACTGAGCCCAACAGCCTCCATTTCCCTAGGTGCTAGAGGATGGAACTCTTTTCTGGTCGGGTCCCAAACAGTGTCCCGAGCCCTTGGAGTTTGATGCCAGCCAAGTGAGTGGGGTCCCTTGGGAACCCCAAGGCGGGGATGTGACCCCCTCAGAGCAGCGGTGGGCACCTCTGCATCTGTGCAGAGATGCACAGATGCTGAGGGAGACCGCCACGTTTGTGCACATATGGGTGTCCACACGTGAGACCGAGGCAGGCGCTCCAACATCTCCACGAACGGGCGGACCCCCACCCCACGTACCTGTACATGCTCACTCACACCCGTGCATCTGCCCGTGCTCTTGGTCTGACTGCAGGACACACACCTCCTCTACGTGCTGGCGGCTGCTAACCTGTATGCCCGGATGCACGGGCTGCCTGGCTCACGGGACCAGACAGCGCTCAGGGAACTACTGAAAATGCTGCCATTGCCTGTGCCCCCGCTCTCGGCCGCCAGCTTTCCTAACGACCTGGACCTCGCTGGGGCTTCTGCTGAGTTTGGTGAGGTCCCTGGCTCTGGCCCCCCATCTGCCCTCCAAAGGCCTGGCCCTGTGCTCAGCCTATGCTACAGAAGGAAGATGGGGCCCTGGGGCCCTGCCGCCAATTCAGTTTCTCAGGTCCTCTGACCTTGCTTCTTTCGATGTTTGGGCTCATCCTCTAGCCCCTCAGTAGGCCCTCTCCCTGCTGCCCACACTCCCACACCTCTGTTCCCATGGCAGATTCTCAGCAAAAAAGACCCCCACAAACCACTGGGCTCTGGAGAGTACCCAGCTCTGGTCCCCAGGTGAGGACAGAATTCCGTAGGTGCACGCACGGATGCATGCGCGTGCACGCACACAAGCAGGGCTCGGGCTGCTGGAGAGAATGCAGCATCAATCAAGGGATCTCTCTGAACGTAGTCAGTTTAGGCTTAGGAGAGACCAAGAATAGGCACCAGGCTCCAGGGAGAGGGCAGAAGGTGGGGGCTAAGAACTGCCCAACACCCCCTTCCTCTGCCAGGCCCTGAGCAACTGAAGAAACTGCACCAAGTGCTGGAGGTCTGGAGCGGGAGCCCTCCTCTCGAGCCCCTGAAGTTCGAGAAGGTGGGAGCCCAAGCAGGGGTTGAGGGGCAAGATGGGGAGGTTGTTGGGGAAGGTCAAGAGCTAAGAAGGTGGCTTTGGAGTTCCCTTGGCCTGAATTCTCCTCCTGGCAGGAACCCCAAAGCAGATCACCTTCCCTGAGCCTCAGCTTCCTTATCTGATAAGGGGGACAGATGTCAGCATCCCCCCCCCCGCCCCCGCTGCCGAATTGTGGGAAGACTTGTGCGGGGACAGGTGGTCAGCCATGGTGAGGGACTCTGGGGCCGTGTTAACAATACTGGGAATTAGGCCTCACAGGACAATGATAGCAACTTCCATGTGGATTTTGTGGTGGCAGCAGCAAGCCTGCGTGCTCAGAACTATGGGATCCCCCCTGCCAACCGCACCCAGGTAACTCTGCCCTTTGGGGCTCAGGCCTGGAGGTGGGGGTCAAACCCTAGTCCTACACCTCGGGCCCAGACCAAATCTCCTGTCCTTGGCAGAGCAAGCGAATTGTGGGCCAGATTATCCCAGCCATTGCCACCACCACAGCCGCTGTGGCGGGCCTGGTGGGCCTGGAGCTGTACAAGTTGGTGGGCGGGCCACGGCCCCTCAGTGCCTTTCGCCACAGCTACCTGCATCTGGCTGAAAACCGCTTCAGCTCCTGGGTGCCTTGCGCCCCAGCCATCCAGAAGGTGAGCCCTTGACACCCCACTCCCCACCAGGCCTGCGTTTTTCCTATACCTACCAAAACAGGCTCTACTCTGGCTTTGGCTTCACACCAGAACCCAGACTCTGGGGGAGTCCTTAAGACTCCCTCCAGCCCCCTTCCTGCTGTGAAGCCAGACTGGGACCTGTCAGACACAGGAAGCAGCCATCAGCCGCCCCCACCCCTCACCCCTCCCCTGCCCTGGGTCTGGGGGGCTGCTGCAGCTTTAACTCATTAGTGGAGCCAGACATCCCTCACAGCCTCCTCCTTCCAGTAGAGCCCCTAAGGGGGAGGTGGTAGGGAGGGGGAACTAGAGCCCTAGCCCCAAACAGAGCCTAACCTCTGCCTGCACGGCATGGGGACCCTGGCCCACCCCCTCCAAGCCGAGTTAAAGGGCACTGAGCTCACCACCGCGGGTGGGCTCGTGTGTGTTCGTTGCATGCATATGAGTGCACAGGGGTCTGGGCATCCCTGGCCCTATGGTGTGTGGGCATGGAGGGAGCACGCTTGTACATCTGTGTGCCAGATGGGAGTACAGGGCTCTTCTTCACTGGCGGCGTGCACGGGTGTGCATGTGAGTACACATGCAGGCCTTCCTGGCCGTGTGTGTGTGTGTGTGTGTGTGTGTGTTCCTTCCAGTGCAGGGCTGTGAATGCCCTGGCTGTGTGCCCAGGCTCGGCAGTAGTTGGCATTTTCTTGGGGCACAGGAGAGAGGGGGTGGAGAGAATGCCCTCACCAGGGGAGAGGGGAGAGGTCATGGGCCAGCACTGGGCTTTTGCTGAGCAGGCCTGGGGTCCCTCAGGGCACAGTACACAGAGCCCCTTTGTGAAGGGCCTCTCCTCCAGCTAGCACATAAGCTGCCTTTGTCTATGGTGGAGGGGGAGGGGGCAAGGGAGGATCCCCCCCAACTCACCTCTGGCCTCGTCTCAGCTTGACCCCACTGTGCTTTCTCGGGGAGCTGGCAGGGCCCCCTTCCTGGCCCCTGGCCACCTGCCACCCTCAGCTCCAGGCACTAGAACCCCAAGACTCTTGAAATAGGGAAGGAAAGGAGACAGGAAGAAGAGGCCTATGCGGAGTGCGTCCCTCCTGGGGGCTCTCAGCCAGCGGGGCCCTAGCGGTCATTGTGCCCCTTGATCCTCTGTGCCCATGTAGTCCAATGCCCTGGCAATACAGGATGAGGGGGCAGGATGTACCCCCCAGCTCCCAGCCTTGCATTTGAGGATCAAGCAGCTTTATCGGTGACTGCAGCGGCCCTGCTCCTGCTTCCTCAGGAAGCAACGCCCCCCCTTCCACACACACACACACACACACACACACACACACACACACACACAACCAGCCTGCGTGATGGATTGCCTGTTTCCCTGTGCGGGGGCCCCATAGCCCCATTTCCTGTGCTGGCCCCAGCATAGGCGGGGAGGGTGCTGAGACTCTGGGCCCAGATCCCACCTTCCAACCCCACCCCCAGGCTTCTGTTTCCTGCCTCTAGTCCATCTCCTCCTCTAGGAAAGGGGCCATCAGCTGCTGGTAATGGGTAAGGGGAGGGTGTGTGGGAGAAGCTTCTCACGCCCCGCCCCACCCCACCCCCCAGTTACATTACCTGACATGGACCTGGACGTGTTGGAACCGCCTGAAGGTGCCTGCTGGGCAGCCAGAGAAGACCCTGGAGTTACTGCTGGCCCATCTCCACGTAAGCCCTGTTCCTCCCTGCCTTCAGGCCTGGCCAACCTGGCCTAGCTGGCACCTGACCCATCTCTCTCTAGGAACAATTTGGGCTGAGGGTGATGATGCTGCTGCATGGGAGGGCCCTGCTCTACTCAGCAAGATGGTCGCCTAATAAGCAGGCCCAGCACCTGGCCCTCAGGTGAGCCCACACGTGGCTTTAGCCAGGACTTGTTCTGTTCTGGAGGTTGGAGTTGGGAGACGTGAAGTCTTTCCTCTTCCCAACCCCGTTTGGGCCCCTCACACCCTCCTGAGGCCTTCTTTTGCCAAATGGAGCCAGCAAATGGGCTGGGGGTGGGGTGAGGACAAAAAACCTGAGGAGGGGCCTCCCAGCTGCCTGCTTGGCGGGCCTCATCAGCTCCTCCACACCCTGCTAAGCCCCCCTTTCACAGCCCACTCCCAGGGGACTCGCAGCTTCCTGCCTCCTGCCCGCCCTGCCTGTTGCTCCTAAAATAGTTTCAGATGTTTCCTGTCTTGAGCTGCTCTGGCCCCTGGCTTGGGCTCCTTATGGCCCATCAGCACCCTCTGGTCCATGCCCGGTCACTCTGCCTCCCGCTGCTCACCTAGCCAATCACCTCCAATGCTTTCCCCGCCACACCACCAGGGTGACGGAACTGGTGCAGCGGGTGACAGGCCGGATGCCTAAGCCAGGGCAGCGGGTGCTGGTGCTGGAGCTCAGCTGTGAGGGTGAGGAGGAGGACACTACCTTCCCACCCCTGCACTACGAGCTATGTGACAAGACAGCAGCCCTATCACCCGGCTCTACGGAGCCCTGCATCCCGAGCCCACAGTAAGCACTCAATAAAAGCTTGTTGAAGGAGGGCGTAAGTGGAGATGGATGATGAAACCTGGGGCAGTAATGCACAGGGCGTGTGACATGGACATGACGGGGACCCCTACAGGGAGAGAAAAGGCTCTTTAGATTCGCCTGCCTGGGCTGTGCCTCAAAGGGCTGGGGCCACCTCCTAGAGCCTCAGGGGTATGGAACCAGGATAGTCCAGAGAAAGGCCTTTTATTGTCCCAGGCTGGAGGGCAGGGTCAGAGGTAGCTGACATCACTGCAGATGATGGGTTGGCGGCTGCGGCAGCGCATGAGAGCTGCAAAGCGTGAGACATCTGCAGGCAGCTCGGGTTCCGGGCGAGGTGGGCACGATAGTCTCTTTCCCGCCATAGCCGCCCTGCGTGCCCTGGCCAGCTGGCGCCGCAGCTGCTCAGAGAGCCCAAGCAAGAACTGAGGGGGCCGAGCACGGGCACGGGGCCCTCCTCCATCGTCCCCCTCACCCGCTGCCTCTGGCAGCTCCATCCAGTTGTGCACCAAGTCAGCAAAGCAGTTGTCCCCCAGCACTAGGGGCTGGCGACTGCGACCTCTGTTCAGCAGGGCTGCTGTCCAGTCCTCAGCTTCCAGCCCCCGCCAATGCTCCAGGCAGGCATCTGGGGTGGACTTGGGCCGTGGTCGGTGGGCAGGTGGTGCACTGGCCCCCGGAGCGCGGCTGGGCAGGGGAATGCCACTGGCCGAGAGGCGCTGTCTGTGGGGGGGCCACGCTGGGGGTGCTGGGTGCTGGAGTACAGGCAGCTCTTCCTCTCTCCATGTGCTGCCTGACACTTCAGAGAAGCCGGAGTCCCAGTCCAGGCCATGGTCCCTGGGGCTCCCCAAGACAACACCCTTGTCTCCTATCGCCACACCTTCTTCCTCCTCTTCCACACAGCAGACTGAGTCCTCTTCCAAGGCATCTGAGGCCCTGAGTCGGTGGCTGAGCGGAACACGTGGGCCGGGTTTGGGGGGTGGTGGAAGGGGGCCAGACATGGGGGGTGAGCCTGTGTCCCGGCCACACAGCTGTGGAGGAAGAGAGGGCCCAAGTTGGAGGGGGTAGTGCTTGTCACTCCTGCCTGCCTGGCCAGATCAGTCCCAAAACAGCAGACCCGGGGGCTGGAGAGGCCTGCGGGCCCGGGCAGCAAGCCTCCAGCGGGCACCGGGCAGGCATGGGGGCGCTGGTACACGTAGCTCGTGTGGCTCCCGTCAGCCGACCTGGTGGCACTCCGGCAGGCTGCAGCACGCACAGCTGGGCAAGTCGGTACCCGCCACCAGGGCGGGAGGCAGGGTTGCGGGCCTGCCTGCATCGGGAAGTAGGTCCTGTTCAGGGCTGGGGGTGGGGGAGCATCCCTGCTTCCTGAGGGATTCGACTCCCCAAAACTCACAGCCTCTTTCAGAGAAAGAGCACTTGCGGGGGGTGGGGGGTAGAGGAAGGAGGTCAGCCTGGGGTAGAAGGCATCCATACCAGCGCCAGCACTTCTTTAGTCCCTCGCAGGCCCCTGATCCGCCCCAAAAGAACTTTCTCCCCGCCAACTCTCTCCGTCACCCCGGCAGCAAGGCCAGCTGGGCGGCTGTTACTTGATGCCCAGCGCAGCTCCCAACCGTCCGAAACCCGATGCGGGCCATCTGGGCCATCTGCGCCGCCCCGCCCCCATCCTGCCTCGGATGGGCACTCGGGCCGGGCCCCTACCCGGGTGTCGTTCCGGCCGGATGGCAGCTGGGCACCCCACACGCGTCCCCACATGCCACACCCGCTCCCAAGCCTCACCAGTTCCCAGCGAAGCTGGCCCAGGAAGCTGTCAAGCCGAGCGCTGTGCATACCCGTGCTGGAGCCCCCGCCAGGCCTGCCAGTTCCTCCTCGAACTCCAGCGGGAGCGGCGCGGAGAGGGCCCAGCGGGCCGGCCAGCGGCGCCCCGGCCCTCCGCCTGGCTCCGCCGCTCCTCGCTCTCCACAGCTCCGGCCGCCGCCGCCGCCACCGCCCCAACATCTGGCAGTCGCGCCCCGCCCCTGGTGCCGCAGCCAATGGGGCCGGGGCGGGGCTGAAGTGGCCCCGCCCCTCGGGCCCGGCCGAGTGGGTGAGTGAGCCTGACGCCGGCTCCCCACTTCTCTCCGGCTCTGGAGGGAGGGGCGGGGCTGTGGCTGGAAGCCGGGCGGGTCCCGCCTGGGACTCCCCCACACCCTGGGCGGTTTGGCTGCATGACCCAAGACAAGGCGATTCCCCGCGGTAGCCTCAGCTTCCCCGTTTTTCCCGGGATAGGACTGCGGTCCTTCCTGCAGGGGCTCCGTGAGCGCGCGGATCCTCCGGCCACGCCCACGTGCGGACAGAGCGCCCCCAACCGTCGGACCTAGCAGTGCTGTGGCCCACTCCGGGCACGAGTCACTGAATCCGTTCCTGGAGGGGCCTCGACAAACCCTGGAAATGATGGGTCCGGCCCCTCTGAGGACTCCGGAAGCACCGGACCTCGCGGCGGCACGGGAGAGGCGCTTCGGCCACGGCCCAGCCCACGCCCTCTCAGCCCCGCGTCTGGCAGAGCTAGGCAGGGCCGCCCTCTAGTGGGGAGCGTGCGGTTAGCAGGGATTACCTCGGCGACACCTGCATTCCGTCTGCCCGCACCACAAGCCAACCTAGAGTGAGTGCAGGGGATCAGGGCGGCACTCTCTGTCCAGAATGGTCAGAGCCCGTTCCTGGAGGCCGCTCCAGAATCGGAGGCTAGGTTCCAGGATACAGTCTAACTTGAGACAGATTAGGCAAGCCAGTAGACAAAAAAATAGCCGTAACGAGGGTGGATGGGCTAGTCTGGGAGAGGGGTCTCACAGAGGAGGCAGCATTCTGTATGGGATCTGAATGAGCCATCATGGGAGATCAAGAAGGGTATTCTAGGGGCGCCTGAGTGGTTCAGTAGATTAAGCGTCTGACTCTTCATTTTGGCTCAGGTCATGATCTCAGGGTGGTGAGATGGAGCCCGGAGTTGGGCTCCACGCTGAGCGTGGAGTCTGCTTAAAATTCTCTCTCTCCCAGCCGAGATGCCCTTCAACAGATGAATGGATAAAGAAGATGTGGTCCATATATACAATGGAATATTAGCCATCAGAAAAGATGAATACCCAACTTTTACATCAACATGGATGGGACTGGAGGAGATTATGCTAAGTGAAATAAGTCAAGCAGAGAAAGTCAATTATCATATGGTTT